TAGTTTCCCAAAGTGGTCGCGGAAGAACCCTAGGGGGATAGGAGCCTCGGAAACAATTGGGAGCGTTGATGCTGTCCAGGGGGTGCTAACACATTTGAAAAAAACCTGAATTATCTATATAAACTACACTGTATAATTTTTATTACTTGTGATTTTTTTGTTAAGTTAGTAAAAAATACATGTTTTCAATTAATTTTTGTGGTGGTTTCAATTGATTTTTCTTCACACAAGCAGAGAGACAATGAAATAAACTCATTGTCTCTCTGCTTGTCAGTTGTAAAAAGTTACAAACCAATTTGTTTTCTCAAAGATTTTTCTTCGTGTTTATTTTATTGTCTCTCTGTTTGTCAATTGGGGGCGTTGATGCTGTCCAGGGGGTGCTAACAATTTGAAAAAAAACTGAATTATCTATATAAACTACACTACATATATAATTTTTATTCCTTGTGATTTTTTTTTGTTAAGTTAGTAAAAAAATACGTATTTTCAATTAATTTTTGTGGTGATGGACGTTGAAATTTTTTTATCTTGCCAAAAAGTTTGGGAACCTGTGAATTAGATCATTTGAAAGCCACTAGTGACAAGACAAATCCAATGATGGCAAACCCAACAGTTGTAACGTTGATATTCAATAAAACAGTTGTCTTTTAACTATATATAGTCTCTACACTATATTATAATTATTACTTAATTGTGAGAGCGGGGCAATCTTATCAAAGCAAATTAAGTAGAGATGTGCCCGTACATTACCGATTAACATATTTTATAGTGCTGTACCACACAGTAGTAAAAACAATTTTGGTGATTTTTATCACCACTAGCTCATTCTTTATTGAAATTCCGAGCTGGAAAAAATATCGACAAACATTTTACCAACCCTAGAGGCTTTCAATTTGTGAAGTTCAAGAGTTCCTTTGTGACCCGTAAACTTTGACCGGAGATCGATGTGACTGCAGATAACAGAACATGAACAACTTTTTTTAAATATTTATAACAGTTTCCAAATTATATCTTGTTAAAAATTTTGTTCACACAACAAACAAAGACAGTACGAAACTATACGAAAACTACTTATTGCTATATAATTAAAAATCAAGACTTCCTTAGTGTCCCAACGGTTTGCACTGTAGGTGCTGGATGAGCAAGTCCCAGGTCCGATTCACGGTAGGTATGGGTATTTCTGCCACCAAGCGGCAATGTGAGCATTACTGCATTCCTGTTTTTTGGGTATAAAGCGTGAAACAATCCAATTCAGAACTCTTCGATATTTTAACTGAATCCTTCGATTGCATATCGTTATCGAATCAAATGGCGCTTTCCGAGCTATTCAGAACATTCCAATGTTCGATTCGGATTATCGTTATCAAACGTTTACGGAGTTAGTCGGTGTAATAGATTATAAGAAAAATGGAAATCCTTTTATATATATATTCATGCCTTTAAAGTCAATTAATAAAATTGAACATTACCCCGACGTTATCTAAAATAATAAGAGATTTCCATATTACATTCTTGCTTTGTAAACAATAACGTTCGGTAACTTTAATTCAATAACTGTCCTTTGCTGGTCGAGGATATACTTAATGACTACGTATATTTGTTTAGAATTTGTTGGTACAAATTATAATAAACAAAGTAAGCATAAAGACGCGATTTAATTTCCGCTACACCACACACATTGTCCTTAGCACGTCCACGCCTCATTACTTCCACAGTGCCTGGCTTCAACATGTTTTAACAATTTTGAACCCTGGTGTAAATAAATTAAATTTAGTTTGCGTTCACACAAAATGCACGAGTGAATAGGATCCTTCAAGGTCTAGAACTCATTACAGAGATACAGTTATAACACCAAAATAATACGGCTGCGGTTCAAAACAATAGATTTGGTGATAAAAACCACCACTACAACGAAAAAACCTCACCTACTTAATATGTACGTATGGATACTCACTTAAATCACCCCATTGTTAGTCATGCATTGCTGGCCGTTACAAGTTTTTTCTATTTACTAAAAGATTTAGCGATATCAGGTTATTGACCGTATATGTTTAATTGTTTTAGCAAGTTTAGTGTCTTGTGGTACGGTTCGTTGGGCTAGAGCCCGTCTGGGTCATAGTCAGCACCAATAGTATATGGCAGTAATAGTAATAACGTGAGCATTAGATACAGCGTTCCGATTTTCAATAGTAATGGTTTTTATGCAGCTTCAGGCACATAGGACTTGTCAACTTATGTATAAGGGTGACGGGCGCATAACCGTTCTGCATCATCAACTTCAAAATCTAATGCGAAAGCTACTTTCTCAAATTCTACTCCACCGATGAAGAACATCACCTAAAGAATGTTATAGCAGTTGAGCTCCTTATGTAAGAGTTTCTTCAGGAAAGTACAGCCACCTTACTTATTTTTGCCGCCAAGCAAAAATGTGATCATTTCTGCGTTCCGGTTTTGAAAGATAAACGCACTGCATCCGATTCGTATCTGGGGGTCTACTCTCGATATCCGTCCGACATCCGTCCGAAACAATTACTGTCAAATAAGTAATATTCAACAAAATTAAAAGACAAGTATCAAGTATGAAGCTTCATTCGCATCACGCATCTTTTCATTTGGTCAAGTCTTATTTGGCAGTAATTGTTTCGGACGGATGTCGGACAGAGATCGAGTAGACCCCTTGATACGAATCGGACGTAGTGCATAAACGCTCCAAGGGAGCTGGTGAAATTATACTACACATACATCAACTTATGTCTCAGGAAGACAAGCGCAGTGACAGTCCCCTTCAAATCTTTGCGATTTAAAGCTCAGAATAGCACTGCAACTGTTGTGAGCGATGTGAAGCTCTTTGTCCGGACTATTCAAATTTCAGAATCAGAGCTGGACAGTATTTAAATTAGGGTACGTACAAATCTGACGGATGCGCCTGTTTGCGAAAGGCTGGCGAGCTGCTCACGTACTTACATAACAACAATAACATTTGTATCGAGTGCATAGGCCGCGCGCGCTCTCACGAGACGACTTTCAAGTTACCGACCAGAGAGCGGAACAGGTCGCGCGGCGCGAGTCGCAACGTTGGCCACGTGCCGTGTGGAGCCGCCTTAAAATGTCATTCCAGAGGCGTATTTAATTGCACGTGTGCAGTGTGCCTGCAGCGCGTTCGCGAGATCCGTAGGTACGCACCACGGGGGGCCTACCACAACCTCTTAAAACAATATTACTTTAACCTTACATTTACTTTTCGTATCATAACGCGCTTAAAGTAAGCTTATTGTAATATTAAAACTATGATATTTTATTGGCAGCTTTGTGAATATTCATTCACTCAGTTCGTACTATGACGCGACTTTGACATTAAAGTAATATTGCTCTTATATCAAATTTAGCAATCTTAAAATAGTTACACGGATGCAATGGAAACAATATTATTTTCTGTCTTAATATTGATTTGTAATGATTAAAAGTCAAGTTGAACTTATTTATTTACATTATCAATATCAATATTTTGTTTATTTTTTTATTTAATAACACATAATATATAATTTTTCGTTAAATAAAAATACGCGATGTCTATTTCGTAAAATTATAACACCGCCATAAATATGCTCCTTGGCGAAACTAACAGTTGACACTAGACTATAGTTCCGAACTTACAACACATAAGTCAATGTTACAACATGACTATCAAGACTCGGCTTGTTTTATTTATTTTTCTTCATTGAATAATTATAGAAAAAAACGCAAATTTAATAGATTTTATTTTTACACACTTTTCTTTTCTTAACAGTCAAAATTCCCTGAATGTAAATAACATTAAGTACTTAGACATTATACTACGATAAAACGATTCGGAACATCAAAAAAGAAAGAGATGGCATTATATAGTTCACATAGCGTTATCTCTTTCCTATTTTTAGCAAGGAATAGACAATATTGGGAAATCATTCTTTCTTTCGATCATTATTGATAGAATATAGATTCACAGATTCGTCATGGTAGGAATATGAGTAATATTATAGTAAGCTTACGTTAAGCTTACATTGAAATAAGATAGTTTTTGGAAAGGTTATGGTAGCACCCAGGTCTGTGGTACGCACCCTTACATGAAATACGTGTACTATATTTGCATTTCAATTTCTACTTAAAATGTATTTCGTAATGGGTATTTTGTGTTTCATATAAATGAGGTGAAAACACCTCATGACAGTATTCTTTTAATTTATACTTTTGCTCAACCTATGGTATTAAACAGGCTCAGAGGTCAGTCAACTTGAAATGGAACGAAAGGAAAATTAAATGGAGAGAAATGCGGTTTAATTCTCCTAACAACATTGAATATAAATTATTTAATTATTATAAGTATTAGTACGTATTTACAATCGCGTACTTATACTTTATTTGTTTTGTCAAATATAAGTAGATATAGTACTCGTTTAGTGCCACTTCCCAACCGCTGGACCATCTGTTTGCCAGTTTATTATTAAAGATCCTATAAATGGAACGATAGGTATGGCTTCACTGTGCGTGCGTTCGTGCGTGCGTGCGTGTGTGCGTGTGTGCGTGTGTGTGTGTCTATTTGTGTGTGTCTATGTGTATCTGTGTCTGTGTCTGCGTGTCAGGACACTGTCAACAAAGTAATAAAATATGGCTGCAGGTGTCTTAGCCTTGAAAGCATCACGCTTCGCGTCATATTATCGTCATTATCAAGTAATGTGCAGACATTCCAGGCGCCAAAAACCATTTTATGCGTATTCACAACATTTTTGTTTTGCATCTTCGACCGCGTAGGACGACGGAGTAGGATAGTGTAGGATGAGCATTTTTTTTTGGACACCTTCGTTCTTCTTAAAATCTAAGACAAAGATCTGCAACAAGCACATAAAAATTCGTAAAGTTCGTTCGCTGGTTCGTTCCGTAGCTCAGTTTGGAGAGCGTCAGTCATGGTATGATGAAGATGCTGGTTCGATCGAAGGAATTTAAAAAAAAAGGAAATATATCTTTTGAAAAAAAACTATTTATTTTTTAGTTTTCTTATCAGAGTTCTCTCTCTTCCTCTTATTAATAGGGTTCCTTGGGTCGTAGATATCAAACCAGTCGTCTCCCTTCGTCGAGGCGTCCTTTGCCAGCACAGCGCCCTTCTCTTCGAAGCGGAGAGTATGGCCCAACCTGGATTAACGTACAATAAATACTATATAAAGTGTGAGCTGTATACCACAATAATATGCAAAGATTATTTTACTGTTCAATGGACACTGTAAAAAAGTTTATATAATATGGCGAAATCCTGAGAAATCGAATTCTAATTATTAATAACAAAGATCAAACACTTAGAAAAAAATTCTTTTAACCGGCCGGATTCGAGCTGACGTCTTCTAGAAAAACTAGTACTTAGTACAAGGATAGCGCAATGAAACAACATGTGTTGTTACTTCACGTACACGTACGTCCGCTCACACCACTGTCTAGTGTCGCAATGGCGGGAACGGTGAACTGCAGTGTAACTCATATTGTCAATTGTCTATGATACACCATATGCATACACTAATACAATTGGCATAGCATCTGGCATGGCGTGGAATCCGGCCGGATCGAAGGAATTTTTTTCTAAGTGTTCGATCATTGTTATTAATAATTATAACTAGTGGAAAAATTCCACAAAAAAATAATTTAATATTATGGTGGAAAAACATCTAATATAAAATAATATAAAAACTAGAAAATTACAAATCGAATTCTTTTGTGCCTGTGGGTGCATCCCAATCTTTGCTGCACGCAGAAAACGGAATTATCTGTACAAACTAGGGATGGGTGTCGATTAATCGGAGTAATCGATGTTTTTGTGGAATAATCGGAATAATCGACGATTTTAAATCGATATCATCTGGTTCGATTAATCGGATAATCGATGATTTCATACCGATTTTTGCTAAAAAAAAATAAAACTATAATTCATAAAAATATTTTATAAACATGTCAAAATTTGGAAAAAAAAACAACAGCTTCCAAATGTAAATGTTCATTTTATTTAGCCGATTTTCGAAAAATTAGTTTTGCGTGCAATACCGTGGCACCAGAAACATGGTTTACACAAGCTAATCACAAAATTTATTTCCACCGCCTTTGAAAAATTTATAATTAATACTGATGTTTATACTACTATATTGTTGTAATTTGAAATAGGGCAGGAAATGAGGGTTATGTTACAGGGGTCCTATGCAGTCCGCCTGAGCGCGCCACTCAATAATTCTTTAAAATTAAATTAAGAAATTATAAACTAATTCTAGAAACCCTGGTAGCATTAGCTTAGACTTAATGGAGTATTGTCTAGCTCTCTCTATACCTTTGTCGATTATTCGATTTTTTAAGCCACGATTAATCGGTACATCGATTGTTTTGTCAAAAAAATTATCGATGTCAATAATCGATGTTTTGTTGGTCTATACCCATCCCTAGTACAAACCCACTCACCACTCGTCAGTATTTAGATTGTCATCGTCCTTGATATCTTCACTTGTGCTGGTCTCCTCACCAGCCGCTTTACTAGTCTCCGGGTCTCCAGTCTGAGTCTTCTCTTTGATAGCGTGAAGTTTACTCTTGAACTTCTCCAGGAGTTCAAGAGTGAAGTTTTCTCTGGAAGTTAAAAGAAATATTGTCATAATCAGTCCACTTCCAGGCTAAGTCATACCTGCTATGTTGATTACGGCTGAATTTCTTTATTCAACGATACATAAAAATAAATAAAATGAAGCAAATAAAAAGGACTAAGTGATGGACGAACAAATCGTGCGCCTGGTGGTAAGCGACACACCTGTCCATAACAGTTGCAGTGCCACTCAGAGCTTTAAATCACAAAGATCTGAGGGGCACTGCCACTGCGCCCGTCATTCTCAAGTGCCTGTAGTTTCACCAGCATACACCCTTACCCTTCGAAACCAGAACGCAGTAATGCTCACTTTACTGCTTGGCGCTAGAAATAGTTAAGGTGGCAGTACTTCTCTGGACGAATTCTTTCACAAAGAACTCTACTGCTAAACTTTTTTACTAGAACATAATAATAATAGTTGACTCATATAGTCCCACAGCTAGGCATATGTTATTAAATTGCTTTGCAGTTGTGTGTAAGTTTCCTCCCGATGTTTTGCATGATAAATTTTATTAAAATTTAATTTCGCACATAAATTCCGAAAATATCAAAGGTGCAAGACCGGCTTCGAACCGACAACACTCTGCTTGACAGGTGGTAGATCAAACCATTACACTATCTTTTCTTTTTTTCTATTTATAAAAAATATATAAATCAATAAATAATATCCGAAAATTGAAAATTACGATTATGAAGACAGAGATCGAAACATATAGAAAAATTCGACCCGGTGGGACTTGAACACACGTCCATGCTGCACCGTAGCATTGCTCTAACCATTGAGCCACGGGTCCAGTTACAGAGTCATCGAAATCTCCTATGTGTTTTTGTTATAGACTTTTCAGCATTCGTTGCCGCTAGTGACATCTAATGAGAGATTTGTGAATAACCTTCTCACCGCAGCCGCTTACCGATGTCGCTTTTCGATCTTCGATCAAATGTATTTATTGTAAATCAATAAATACAATTGTATTATTTTATATCTGTACAAACACCAACCAAACCACGGGACGTCACCGTATTCACCGTTCGCTTGTGTTATTTCTCCGTTGACTTTCAGATCGAGGGCAGTGGTCAATGAATACGAAAATTTTTCACAAGTGGCAGTGCACATTAACCAGTTTGTTTTGTTTACCTGCCAACAACGTTACGCGTTTTGATTTGACATTATAGTGCCGTTCGCGAGCCATTTTTTTTAAATTACATTGCCTGTTGGGTAATTTTCCGAAAAATTTCAAATAATGGAAATTTTTCCGGAAAAAATTCAGATATATTGGAATAATATATTTCGAAGGTTCATATTATATTTTTCTTTGAAAAATATCTTAAAATTTTATTAGAATTTATTGTAAAATAAAATTGTATAACCAAAAACATGTCAGTGCACAACGAGATTTAAAATGATTGGACAACAGCGAAACAAACCTTTTCAGTGGCTCCATCATTTTCGTTCAGTAACTTCAAATCTTGACAGGTGTCAACGTCAAATGTGAAAAAATACAGGAAAAATGTTGGAAAAATATGATTCTTTTTTTAAGGAAATTTTTCCATGACCCAACATTAATTACATTTAAACAGTGTCGGGAATTTGAAAACCTTCATTTACTTAAATAAAATATGTTTTTTTTACTTTAAATCCAATGTAGTTCATTTTAAATATTTTCTGACAAGTTGTCAGATTCGTAATTAATAAATAATTTATTTGTATGCAATAAAACAAATACAAAAATTTATTAAAATGTGTATCATATATTTGATGCATATTATTCATTTATAACATACATTTGTGCCCAAGACATTAAAGAAATAATAAGTAAGCTGGGACTAATAGCACTGTTTGGATGTGAATTATGATATCGGAGTGCCAAATAACATAAATTAGTTTTAATATTTTTAAAATGTTATAAATATTTTTTATAAATTAGTTATAAATAATAGTTATTTAGTATTTTTCGCAATTACTATAATACTAAGTAAATTGTAAACAAAATTTATTTACACCTAATTAATAATAATTATACACATGTATTTTAACACTGGTAACTTCATTATACTATGGCAACACAAAAAAAAACAATGGCGAACTTACATATAAATTTTTGTTGACATAATTTGTATATGTGAAAATATCGAGTTTAAATTCCTGACCAAATTTGGTATTGGGTTTACTATTCTGAGAAGTCTGGAATTAAAGATATTCCAGATTGAAGTTTCGGACGTTATGTTTCACATAATTGAATAAAATATGTTGGGTGTATTATAATATCAAAATAAACTACAGAAGACTTATGCAGAGTTAATAGAAGCTCAATGGTGCTGTTGGTTTGTGACGAGACGAAAGTTCAGAGGAAATTATTTTGTACTGGTATGGTCAAAAGGCAGTGAAGTTACGCCATAACAAAAAACTGAGTTAATATAATACTGGTAATTCGGACACAAATTTTTTTTTTTCGGGAAACATGCCATCTATCCCTGATATTGAGAACTTTTTTGTCCGTTATTACGTGAACTAACTTAATGTGGATCTATCTACAGGTAGTACTGAAAATCTTTTTTTAGCAGTTAGATGTCGCTCAACATTCATATACTGTCAGTTGTAGATATCAGTCCCATTACATACTAATAATACCAATTAGTCATTTGAGTTTCTTTTAATAATAATTTATTTTCAGACTTAGCCTTCAGTATAATTTGAAAAACTTATCGAATATATTTTATTCAAACTTCTAATTATGACATTTGAAGACGCTAAAGAATTCTTTTAACAATGATTTAGCCTTTGTTTTTTATTTTATTGAATATCATGATGTCTTTACCACCATACTATTCACATTTTTTTTGTGAAAATAGTCCACTAGTTTGATTATTATTTATTATTAATACAAGACTGAACATACACAAAGAAAAATCCACAAACAAAAACTAGACTCGACCAGGAACTTTTCGCCAAACCGGAAACTTCAATCTCCCAACTGAGCTATGCGTAACGAGTCATCAGACCTTACGAATGTCGTTTGTTTATGATGTCAAGTGACGGACGAACAAGTCGTGCGCCTGCTGGCAAACGACACGCCTGTCCATAACAGTTGCAGTACCGCTCAGAGTTTAAGTCGTAAAGATCTAAGGGAAATGCCACTGCGCCCGTCATCCAGAGACATACGTTGAAAAGTCTTATGTTTCATCTTATTTCACCGTTACCCTTCAAAACCGGAACGCAGTCATGGTCACATTACTGCTTGGCGGCAGAAAACGGTTCTAGGCTACGAAACCAAGAGTATATTATAGTATAAACTCTGTTATTACTACGTTGCCACCTGTACACAAAATCATAAAAGCATGACTGAGTAACCCTATATCTAAAATTTAAGTTTACACTACCTACCTATTTACGTGCTTATTAGTTGTAATACAGTATAGACGTAATCACATCTCTTTGTTAAATTTTATTTGGTTCTATAGGGTCTGAATAAAGGACTATCCACACATATCCGGGCCGTGCCCGGGACGTGGACGGGGCGTGCTGATTTGTATGAACTGCGGGCCCGTCCCGGCCCCGGCCCGGACACGGACATGTGTGAATGAGTTCATACTAAATATATACAACGATATTTTTTTGAGCCCCTGACGGAGCACTGCCCGTCCACGTCCCGGCCACGGCCCGGATATGTGTGGATAGACCTTAAAGGCTACTTAATTTATATAGAGCTAGAGTTAGCTAGAAGTAAAGATCATACTGTCTTTGTTTGTACTAATTTAGAATAATTAATAAAACTTGTAACTTTCACTTATAATTGTAACTTTGTAAGATTTCATAGACCTCTATGGTCGACACAATTGTGTTAGTAACAAACAACACAGATTTCGGTAATTTGAATATTGCTGGCAATACCAGCATCTCTCTTCTGTGTGTATATTCAACAATGTAGTTCAGTTTGTGTTAAAATAAACTTTTAACAATACAAATATGTTTCAATCAGAAACGCCGTCTCAAACATAAGGTGGCTGTACTTCCCTGGACAAACTCTTTCACAAGAAGCTATACTGCTACTAAATTTCTCTATATACTTCTTGCAGAACTTTGTTTTTTATTTTAAAGGCTTTTTTGTCGCAGTGGCACCTGTAAGAAACCTATAATTGCTGGTTCAGGTTTAGCCGAATCAAAGGAATCTTCTTTTGTGATAGTTCGGTCTATGTATCAGTAATATCACAAAAATGTAGTTCACACTATAATCTAATTATATCACATTGGAATAATTTCATAAAATGGAATTAACAATAACGTCAATAAAAGTTTCAATAACAATCAACCCGGTAAGGATGAAAATGGATACCTCCAAAAAATGGACGCTACGCCAAATTAATTTTGTTTCTTTTTTTCACAATATTCGTTTTTTTGGTTTTTTCCAACTTTGTTTTTTCTTTCAAAAATTCGAGAAGCTTAATATTAATAAATAAATATGGCTGTTTACAAGAATAACTGAAACTGACCAAAAAATAAGGCCTATTCCACTAGTCCCTACCAGCTGTCCCGCCTGGTGGGGACAAATGGATTTTTTTTCCACTCCCCTACCACACCATCACTGGTTGGGATAAGTGGAATTTCATTTCCACTTATACCTATCAATAAAATCTCTTGACGTGTTTGTATATGTATAGGACAGGTGGCAGTACTTTACAGTGACGGTGTGGTAGGGAAGTGCGGAAAAAAAACCTAATTGTCCTCACCAGGTGGGACAATTGGTAGCGACTAGTGGAATAGGCCAAAAATAAAGTTGACGTAGACTACTTGTACTAAGTGTTCACATGAGGTATCCAAATTGTACACATTTTTGTAACATTGTAGGTAATTGATGTAAGTTATAATAATATGCAAAAACTGCCAATTATATATTTGTTACATTATATTTGGTATAATAGGGCTAGCATCACAGAGCGCGACTTGAGCGAGAGAGACTTAAAGCGCGAGATACACTATGCGAGAGTTTTG